GCTTCCAAGTTTGGTTACAAGATTACAACTCTGGAGAGCATTTTGTGTGGTTGTTGGGGGCGTGTGGTTCAGAATATGGACAGACAGGTACAGATAAATTCTATTCCAACTGTAATAAGCTTGTTTTCCCTGAAAACGTACAGAGTGCGTCGGTCGCTTCAATAGACGACATCTATGGCCGCTTATGTTTGGCGTGTTCAGAGTAGGTGAAAGCACCACGGATCACATTTTCCAGGAACACCGTCAGCACACCTCGTGTTTTCTCGTGGATCAGACCGGAGATACGTTTGACACCACCACGGCGAGCCAGACGACGGATGGCGGTTATCACAAAGAACCTTGCGATGACGCTTGGCGCCTCATTTACCAAGACACTTTTCTCCTTTGCCACGACCAGTCATTGTTGCTTGTTGGGTAGAAGAGTGGACTTCCTAACCTGTAAAGCAAAGGGCCCAGCAGACTTCCTTGCGGAACACCTAGTAAAACCCAATTTCATTACTTCATTATGATGGAGTTGTATAAAACGATTTGGTATTTTTCGTTCCTTTATTTAACGTCGATCTCTGTTCCGCAATCTAGTGCCAATCACCGACAGACATTGCCTGCGTAGTATATCGCACCCATTCAAACACACATAAGCCGGGTCCAACGGCTTTACTTCCCTTCCCAAGGCAGACGTGACCAGAGATTTTTATGCTTCAGAAAAATCCAACCGACCTCGGCTGGTATTGAACTCAGACTTATTTGGGGGGTGGGGGGGTTGCGGGGAATCGATTTGGTATGTTCAGATTAATTATTATAAAAACAATTACTCTATCTCATTTGCATACCTGAAGAGGGGGAGGAGGCATACAACACCCTTCCCCCGCCCCTTACTCATATTAATGGAAGTAAAGTTTTATTCTGAAATAAGTTCGGTGTTTCTCATCTTGTCGAATTGGTATGTTCAGATATGTGTTATTCAAAAACAATTGCTCTCATAAGCACTGTAAGAAAGTGGGTGGTACGCTATACCCACCGCCTGCTCACTTAAAATTAATTTTTAGAAAAACTTTTTTTTTTCCTTAAAAATGCCCATCTCGCGATGGTTGGTAGTAAATATAATTATAAATGATAGTCTAGATAAATTTTGGAAAAATTAAGTATGCTAAGTTGCTTATTTAGGCAAGGTCCTCACATCTAGAAAGTTTCATTGAAATCTGAGAGGGTGGTGTCAGAAGAAGAACCCATGAGATCCAGCAAACCCTAGCTATCAGTTTCCGGTCGAACTGTTCGTCGCCGTCTCGTAGGACAAGGGTTGCAAAGTTGCCCGGAACCGTCCATTTATCAGCAACACAAACAAAGCCAAACGACTAAAGTTTGCTAAGAAGCATGCTGATAAGCCCCTTGAGTTCTGGAGAACGGTTCTCTGGACGGACGAATAAAAATTCGAGCTGTTTAACCGAAAGTGGCGGGTTCGTGTGTGGTGCAGATCGGGTGAGGGGCTTCAGGAGGAGGAAATGTGATGGTCTGCCCAGCTACCATTGACATCCAACGATTTGGTCTTTTTGACGTTGATGGTTAGACCTGCTTCAGAGGAGCGTTCCACAAGGTCGTCGAGCTTACTCTGCATGTCAGAGCGCCGTTGTGCAACATCATCAGCCAAATCGAACTCGTTGAGATGCTCCATAGTAAATAGGCTGCCACAGCAACCCACGGTTCGGTACACGGTCAACGGCTCCAACCATGATCTCGTCGATTACGATGAGGAACAGTAGCGGTGATAATATAAAGGGCGAAAACGAAATTATTGCGACACATTCAACAGGGCATAACTTTTTTACCATTGGGTAAAAATCAACCAAATTTTGCACACTTTCTCATTGATGTGTATTGTGTACATGCTGTCAAACTCGAAGTCGTGTTTTTCGATTCAACGAAAATGGAGGTGAACCAACGCGAGTTGAGAGAACAAATTCTTTCCAAACACCTGGAATTTCCTGACCTGTCGCACCGGCAGTTGGGAAAAATGTTGAACATTCACCATTCAACCGTCTCCAGAGTGTTGAAGCGGTTCCAGGAGTGGTTGACGTTGGACCACGGCAAAGGAGCTGGAAGAAAACCGGGACCGGAGAACAAAAAGACGGAGGGAAAGGTGAAGCGGATGATTAAAGCAAATCCCAACGTCTCAAGCCGTGATTTGGCTGAAAAGATCGGCATGTCGCAGAGCTACGTCCAGAATGCAAAGAAGAGAGCTGGACTACATACATAGAAGGTACAGAACTTCCCAAACCGCGATGAGCGGCAACAATCGACGGCTAAAACTCGGGCACGGAAACTCTACGAGAAGATGCTGACAAAATATGGCTGCTGTGTGATGGACGACGAAACGTATATAAAAGCCGATTTTAAGCAAATTCCGGGGTTGGAGTTTTTCACCGGCAAGAGCAAGTTCGATGTGGACGACAAATTTAAGAAGAAGAAAATGTCGAAGTTCGCCTCCAAATATCTCATTTGGCAGGCCATCTGCTCTTGCGGACTGAGGAGTGAGCCTTTCGTGACAAAGGGCACAGTAAATGGCGAGATCTACAAATCTGAGTGCCTCGAGAAGCGCCTTTTGCCGTTCTTGCAGCAGCACGACGAAGCTCCGCTATTTTGGCCAGATTTGGCATCATGCCACTATTCTAAAAGTGTCCTGGAGTGGTATGAGGCTAATTCTGTCCATTTTGTTCCAAAGGACATGAATCCGCCAAACTGTCCGGAGCTGCGCCCGGTGGAGCAGTACTGGGCAATAACGAAGCGGGAACTTCGGAAGAGCAAGAAGACAGTCAAAGACGAGAAGGACATGTTAAGAAAATGGAAAAAAAAAACTGAGAAACTGGCACCGGATGACACTGTAAAGACTTTGATGGAGGTCATCAAGCGAAAATGCGTTCAATTTTACACTCAAGGCTCCATCGATTAACTTTTCTTTTGATTTTTGAAGTAAATATATGTATAAAACTACCCTAAATTTTGGTTTGATTCTAAACATTATAAGAAAATTGGCATGACATTTTCGGTGTCGCAATAATTTCGTGTTCGCCCTTTACTCCCGCCGTTGAACCCGCGCAATGCGTAGGTGGATCTCACCGACCAGGAGATGATGGTCAGACGCGATGTCAGCGCTGCGTTTATTCCGAAAATCAAGAAGGCTCCGTCTCCATTTTCGGCTGATGCAGATGTGGTCGATTTGGCTCTCTGTATATCGATCACGGGAGACCCATGTGACTTTATGCACTGGGCGATGGGGGAAGAGCGAACCCCCGATCACCATGCCGTTGTTGCCACACAACTATGCTAGCAGCTCGCCGTTCTCGCTCATATCTCCAAGACCATGACGTCCCATAATGCGCTCATAGTCCGAGTTGTCGGAGCCGATCTTTGCATTGAAATCGCCTGTGTAGATCTTGATATCACCTCTTGAAGTCTTATCCACGACAGCATTCAGTTGACTGTAAAAGTTCTCTTTGTCCTGCAATTCGGCAGCATCGGTTGGCGCATAACATTGGATTATGGTAAGGTTTTGGACCCGTGTTCTGAATATGGGAAAGATTATTCTTTCATTGATAGGTTACAACTCGATGAGCGTCGTCTGTGACGCTAAGCAGAAAGCCAACTCACCTCGCATACCAGAATATAAAAGTACCTGTCCCGAAGGCAGCTTGTGTTCTCCAAAGTTCGGCAAGCGGACTTCACTAAGTCCCAGGATTTCTAGCTTCATACGGCGGGCCTCACTGGCGAGTTTTGCCAGTTTACCCTGCGTCAGTACATTCCATGTTCCAATTCTTGTCCGTTGTTTAGCGCTAACAGTCGTTGCCTTTTATAATCAGTTCGTAAGGTTTCTGTAACACATCTGATGGTTTCGGAGACAGTAGGTGGTTGGCCTAAGGTCTTCTATCCGCCGTGATGGGACTGCCATCTTGAGTATAGCTTTCGGGGAGAAGCATTTCGTATTCAGCCGCTGGATGCCAGTCAGACGCTGTTTGAGCCGCCCCTAACATGGACAACAGACGATTGGGTTTTGTAAGCCACATCCTCCGAAAAGGATGCAGCTCCCCCTTCCCTGTCAGCATACGACCAAAGTTCCCTCCGAGGTTGGCTACCCGATCTTCCCTAAGGTTACTCGAACCCCAGCCGTCGCCGCAGGGAAGAAAGGGATAGGAGCTACTGGGCAAGAGGCTAAGGACCACTTTCACTTGCGTGACGGGTCTATTTTATAACCTTCAAGTACGCGAAGTACTGGTGGTACGCATTATCTCAGTCATTTTCCAGAACGGTGGAGTAGGCAGCCTTGTGAAAATCTACGGAATAATGACGACAGATTCCTACAACAACATCCTGCGGGAAAATCCAGGCCTTGAAGAGAAGTTCGTATTTCAGCAGAACAACGACCCGAAGCATACTGCCAAGAAGACCAAGTCTTTTTTCCGGTCTTGTCAGATCAAACCACTGGAATGGCCTTCACAAAGCCCGGACCTCAACCTCATCGAGAATTTGAAGCCCTGGACCGCGCCTTGGAAGAGCTAGATCCACAGCACCTAAAGAACCTGGTGGAGGGCATACCGAAGCACCTGCATCAGGTCCTGAAGGCCAAAGGACGACACATTAAGTAAAACTCTTTTTTTTTGTATTTCATAAGTGAAAAATAAGATATCAAAAAGACTACACTTCATTGTGTCTAACAGTGTATGCAGAGGATGTAATAAATTCATCCTTGTGTTTCCCCGATCTATGCCAGCGGTCTATAATATCTCTTCTATTAGCAATATTCGAGCCTTGCTCCGTTTTGGAATAAATCGTAGATGTTAACCTCAGTCTATGCCATGCCCAAAAACTGCAATTTGCAACCACAGCCTGCTATGATTTTCTCCTGCAATTTCCCACAAACTTTCATGACATTCTGATTGGATAAACCACAAACAGCCCACGAAGAAGAATTTGAAACATTCACTCAAGTAGTGCCTTTTTTTTTATTACAGGTTGTGATTCATTACGATGCACAATAAAACATGAGTATTAATCATTGCCCAAACCCGACAACAGCAGCAACAGTCACAACCGCCAACAACTGCTCGGAACAATAAAAGATTGATAATAAAAACAGCACGACCACTATAAAATGCTGCTATGAGGCATCCAACGTTTCGGCTTATATTAACCCTCGTTTCGCTGCACCACCTCACCGGATCAATACAAGGTAGGACAAATTGCAATTTCCCCTTTCCAGCGAAAAACAAACCAACCAAATGAGAAAAATGCAAATAACCTCCAACTGAAAATGATCCTTTGTGTTTTTCTGCTCCATTTCACACGTTTGGCGCCGCAACCCCTTTTTGGCTCGTTTTTAGTCGGTAAAATCGGGCTAAATGATAACACTTTCAAAACAATACCGCGACACTTCTGGCAAGACATCTCCTCCCCGTACACCGATCTGCCAGATGACGACATCGAAGAGGAGTCGGAGGAAAGCACCACCCATGACCCGTATCCGTTTTTCGACGACACGAACATGACGGCAAATGTAACCACACAGCTTGGCAACGACGTGTATCTGCACTGTCGCGTAAACGATTTGAGGGAACGAACTGTATGTGTACATATTTCCTTTGAAGCGTAATTAACTCAAGAAGCCTAATTTGCACCATTCCTGGTGCTTCCAACCTAATGGTCGTCTGTCTCTTTCTCACCATTTGCCCTCTCGCTCCAACCTCTTTCACAGGTAACCTGGGTGCGCCGGAAAGGTGATGACATTCATTTAATCACAGTAGGCCGTCACACGTACAGCAGTGACTCTCGCTACTCGTTGCAGTATCAGACACCGAATGATTGGCAGCTCCTGATCCAGTATGCAAATGAACGAGATGAGGGCCTGTACGAGTGTCAGATTTCGTCCCATCCGCCTCTGGTGTTTCTTGTATATCTGATCGTAGTAGGTAAGTCTATTTGCATCCCAACCCAGACAGTAATCAACAAACCCCTTCTCGTCATTTAATCGAACCCCCATCCGCCCGGCCTACTGTGAGCGAGTGAAAACGAGTAGTAGGTATCGCTATTAAATAAAGATTTTCACATGGCCTCCTTTTCTCTTCATTTTCCAACTTTGAAACTGCAACAGTGCCCAGAGTGGAAATCGTCGACGAGCGAGGCTTAGCTACTATAGACAAATTTTACAAAGCAGGTAGCACCATCGAGCTCAAGTGTATCATCAGCAAGGTCCCGCAGCCTACGAGCTACGTGACGTGGAAGCATGGTATGAGGATGCTGAATTATGACACCAGCCGGGGCGGAATCAGGTAATTAATTTATAAAAGTTCATCAAATCATTTTCGAGCTTTGATTCAACCGACTCTTCTAATGTGACACACGTATCCAGTGTCCTGGAATCATCACTATTATCATCACCATCATCATCACGCCCATCAGCTGCTACGGTCCCACCAATGGGAAAAGAAAGTTTATAATTAGATACTTTGGAGACGACCTCCGGTTATGGGTGGGTGTCGTTTATCAGAATCATGCCTAAATTGATGAAATTTATTCGAATGAAGCGTTTGTTATCCTTGGTACTTTCATCTGGAATGGCTTAAACGGTTTCCTAGCGGAAGTAAACCAGATTTATGTTGACTTTTCCGGTATGACTAATAATGAAATCTTGATGAATTAAACTGATATTCAATAGAAATATAAGTTATAAATATCGCATCACGTCTCCGATTGAAAAACTTTTTATACAACATGGCGTTTATGTGATATACAGAAAAGTTTTCACTGTTCATGTAGAAGCACTGGGCACGCAACCAGTAGTTCAGCTGAAAAAAGCCAATCGGCAGCAAATTTTGCTATCAAATTTCTATATTTATCGAAGTTTAAAATTAACAAAAATATCTTATTATTTTCCAGCTACCGGTATCTGAAACAAAAGAGCCTTATTGCAATGATCGATTCTCTTCATCTATTATCTCTTTTTTCATAACTCATAAAGCGAACCCCACACGTATCAATATATTGGGGGGTTTGGAGCTAAAAGTGTTAAGGAAGAATCCATTTAGCATTTTCGATTTTGCCACGGTCCATATATTTTTTATAAAAATCTGTATGGATGATTTTCCACGTTGTTGTGGTCAGTCTCTTGGTTTACTCAGATCGCCTTTTCCACTGCCGCGTTGTTCCGCTTCCACTCTTATTTTCTCCTGCTTGACCTTAACAATGTAAATGAATATTTCATCAACATTGTTAATTGATTTGCTGGAGACATACGGTGATACAAAAGGAATGCTATTACTTACAAAAGTCTGCATGCTTTTTCTCGCGTGAAACACAAACCCACACACATACACTAATCATTCTCCTAATCCGAGAGACTAAATTTCCACCATCGGTTCTGGCTGTGCTGCTCTCTCTTTTTTTTTCTATTGTACGAAGAAAATTCACCAGAAACCGTTTCGTTTCGCGATAAAAAGAAACTCAATTGAATGCGATACACTTGAAGTGATAATACAGTAATGACCCGATTTTTTCAGCCCCCATTTTGAAAATCTATCTTTTCTAATGCTCTACGAAACCCATGCACTTTTTCAGTGGTCTTATTGCACCAAAATATTAAATTATAGAACGATAAAAGTCTGATGCTCTGATGAGGGGCTGCCAAAATCGAGTCATTACTGTACATTTTCCCGGAAAACGATGTTGAAGGTACAATTGCGCCAAACAGGGAAGAAAGCTTTAAATCACTTCTGCTTGACACCACGCCGACGCGGCCCACTATAATGCTTCTCGGAAGCAAAATTACTCGCTTGTGTGCTTTATTTTCAACATGATTGAATTTGGCATTGACAGCGCACAGCCAGCGCCCGAAGGATGTAATTTTCATTTACACCACCACTGCCGGTTCATTGGAACGAAAAGGAAGCAACATGTAGCAGGTGTTGTTCCGTGGAATTCTATTCAATCGTTGCTTCATTTGAACTGCTTTGAGCAAAATTTGAAGTAGGTAGAAGGAATTTAAATGGTTTTAATTGGCTCTAGTAGCGAACTGTCCATAAATAAATATATGGCGAAGTTAAATTCTGAGTAAAATGGAGTTTCAATGTTTTACGCGATAAATCAACGGAATCACGAAAATATTGTGCTTACAGCTATAATATATAATAAATAAAAAAGTGTCATTGAAAACCATGCCGTTGTGACAAATATTTAAAAAAAATTCTCCCAAAAAGTGGACCATATTTCTTTATTTATCTGGCATATTGGACATTAGACGGATTTCACGCCAACTCGACTAGAACAACATGTTCCAGCCATATTTCCGGAACCAGTCCATTTCAAAAATATTTAATTGCGTTCAAAAAGACCCTTTAACCTTTCGTTTAGAGGTTTATAAGTTCAATTCGAAATTCATCTGTTGAGATTTAATTCAGTGTAAACATGAAAAATTTGTAGTTTGAATAACTTTTATCCTGTAAAAGTTCAGATCTTGGGTCTTCATACACAACAATAGGAATCTAACGTTTCTAACGTACAACAACAATAGGAGTGTTTCGAATAATTACTCCATCTTTTACAAAAAAAAAATCTTAGTTTCCGGAAATGAATTTTTCAAGAAGAAATATTTTCATATTAAAAAAAAAGGATAGATAACTACTTCTGCCTACGCACCCTTTTGGGCCTATCAAACAGAAAACATCAAATAAATCCATGATTTAGGTGTTAACAGGGAAATTATGCGTTTAGTACGATACTTTAGTTCAAATGCTACCGAACGAGTTCAATAAGAACGCGTGATATGAATGTTTGCACCCAATATTCTCAAAAACAAATGAAGCGGAGCGACCGAATCAATCTTTAATTTCATCCGATAGGCCGAAGTGAATTCATTGGCGTTTCAATGGTGTTTCAATGCGTTGGAAGCAGTGTTAAACTTTTGACAATATCTCAACGATTGGTTTCTCTTTATTAAATATTACAGTACGTACGAAAAGGTAAATAAATTTAGAAGCCATCAGTAATAATAACATTCCTTTTGGTGCTAAACTACGTTAGATTAAGAAATACGAAGTGAGTGTTGTGCTTAATAGACCGGAAATGGGGTCATTTTGGGAATGATATTTCCAATGATTTGACATTTTCTGAAAGTGCACATAATTTTTGTAAAAAAAGTTGGTCAAATGGTCTAGATTTTTTTTAAAGAAAATTAGTATGCAAAGTTACTTAAGTAGACAACATATTTTCATCCACAATGTTCCATTAAATCTGAGAGGATACTGCCAACTTAATAGTCAAGTTCACGTGAAATTCGTCATTATTGTTCTCAATCCCTACACCCAACCGGAGGATGTAAGATTCGCTTACAATTATGTGGGATTTATCATCAGAGGATGTTAGTGGAGACCGCATGATGCGATACACTGAGCTGCGGTCCAATGCAAAAAAATGGAGAAATAAAAATGTGAAGTGTATTAGTGAGTGTAATTAATCATGTCGAAAAAAAAACGATTGCCGACTGGGGTGTGACTTGCTTCAACCACGAACGTGGTGATTAACAGACCTGTGCTTTCTCCACTGCTCTCTCCTTGCTTCGTGGTATGGACAGGCTAAAAACAATCAAGAAGCGCTCATGTCTTCGCATACTCGATTTCGTTTGCTCTTTCTGCTGGAGAGATTCGAGACAAGTGTGTGCGTCGTTCTACCATAGTATACATAAAAATCAAGGCAAATGATTGCTTGTGTAGGTGAAAGCATAGAAAGAACGCGGAATAAAAAAAGCTTAAAAGTCATTGCATCGTCTGCAAGGTCAACTTCTAACATTCGCTGAGATGTTTATGAATAGAGGATGATAGGAGATGGAACTAACATTCATTGTAATAAAATCATGGTTTGCGTGTAAAATTTCAGTTTTTTAACAATCTTCTACCACTGGATCATGGGTAGAGATCATACCAGCCAGGGGAAACAAACTCGAAAAATATGAACTTCAAAAGGAGCCAAAATCAAGGGTGTCCGCCCATTTGGCCAAATGCCGTTTGAACGAATGCTGTTTGGCTGAATGGGTTGTTTATCCAAATGCCGTTTGGCCGAATACTTTAAATAAGATTTCCAATTTTTTAACACTACTTTAACCTACAATACTATACCTACAGAGTCAATTTTTATTGAAGCAATGTTTATTGAGAACCTTTACGACATTTTAGCTGGGAGCAATCCACCCCCCCCCCCCCCCCCTTTGTACTGTATGACAAGCTTGAGACGTTTCTCAAAAGAATCACACGCGGCACGCACCTGGTTCATCGGGATCTCGTCCCAGATCTTGGAAATGAGCTTCTAAAATTGGTCAATTGTGCTCACGACGATATTCGCCGTGTGCCGTCCTGTTGAAAGACGTAATCCTTTCCGTAGAGGTCCCGAAGTGCCTGGTCCACAACCTTCTCCAGAACCTCGGTCTTATAGTACATGGCGTTGATTTTCACGTTTTTCTCGATAAACATCAGTGGGAGCTTCCCACACCTGGATACGCCCCCACACCAAACCATCACCGGCGTGGCGCTCTGGAATCGCGGGATGATTGTTTGTGACGGGGGGATGTTGGCCAACGTCGGCACCCACCGTTGATCCTTTTGGACATTGTGTGGCTATTGCAAGACAAAGAGTTTCTCGTCAGTAAACACGAACTCCTGAGCTGCGTGTCGCTAAAGTATCAGTTTGGCTCTGTCCAGCCTCTTCTTCGTTGTAGCCTCCGTTACCCCGTGAACCTTGCGTTTCTTGTACGGCTTGTATCGCAGGTCCTTCGACATGATGGTGTGGGCAGTCCCGATCATAACATCCACTTCAGCAACTGTCTTCCGGATCGAGCGGTTCATTTTTCGACGAACCCGCTCCCTCACCACCTTGATGGCTGCTGGCGTTCTCGCCGATCGCGGCCGCCCGGATCTCGCACGATCCTTGGTCGAGCCCGTCTCCTGGTACCGACAAATGGTTGTATAGATAAAATTCCGCTTCACCCCGTGGGATTTCAACCGCCGGAATATGCGCCGGGTCGCTCACCTCTCGCAAACAACTTTACTACGACGTCGCGGTAAACAAACAACAAATGACAGCAAGTCGACACCGTGCGCGTCGGTTACCCTATATATGATGCTAAAGCTGACACCAATACCAATACACAGACTACACATAGTGCGCACCTACACAACAATGAAAAGTTGTATTCGAACTTATTGAACGTACTGTAAATGACAGCCCTGTGGACTTTTTTTTACTTTCAACAATTATGGTTTATTGACATTATACATATGGGGTT